TTGCTCGAGGGTCAGTTGTCGGAAAACTTTACGAATATTTTAAGACTTCTGAGTTGTATATGTGACATCACTGTAATCAGTAGGAAAAAAAATCAAGACAAGTCACAAATCTTGAAGATAAAGAAAGGCAAGGTATGCAAACGCTATCTACGTCCTGTCATCTTTCAATTTTCTAGGTCACTGAAGCCAGTTCATTTCTTCACTTTAGTCGTTATGGAAACAAAGTAGGCACCAATATCTTCGTTACGTATTCCTTGTCCTGAAGAAAACTTAGATCACGTTAACAAATCTTTTCTACTCCTTGCCTGTACGACAGCAATGGCTGCGAAGGAATCGGAAGCAACTATATCATGTGGTAAACGGAGCCATTCTTAGGTTTGCAGCAATGTTTCCTAAATGCGATTTTGAACTACATACAGAGGACTTTTCAACGTCAGGAGCTCTAATTAGGATTTTTCGAAAGACTGGTGGCTGGAAATCCAGACTTAAAGCGCTTTGGGGAACAGAAACAACAAGTCATCTTGCATCTTTACAGCTGGAAACAAGCTATGGGAACGTGACCTGGACAGTAAATGGGTTTTTCTCTAGTCAAAGATCGACAAGGTTATCCAGAGAGTATTCTCAAATCGTTTTCTTAAACGATAGACCTTGTCATCTCAACTTGCAAAAGCAAATATCCGACCTCTTAATCAAGGCATCACAAGAAAACTTGGAAACTGTCACAACCCGAAGTGATCGAAAACTACCAGGAGAACCTTCATTCTATATCCATCTTTATGTAAAAAAGGAAAAGGTCCACTACGACACTCTTGAATACTTGGAGGCACAAATTCTTAAGGTTCTTGAGGAAGCGTTCCATGCTAGTTTTCTGCACATTAATTCTTCGCTAAATACTACTCTCGCAACAGAAGAAGGTGTTTCACGTTTGAGAGTGACGGCAGACTATCAAGTGGACAAGAATTTTGAACTTTTACCAAAGAATCTTTATTCTCCATGGCCTCAATGTACCAAGCTGTCCATGTCATCTACAACCTCAATGGTTCCTCAAAGGACGATATCTGAAACGATGAGAAATTTGCAAGAGTATATATCCTCTCCTTCGGTTTATTCCCCCATTGGACGAGGATCGTTTCGACTAACGGATTCTAAAGTTAAAAATAATGTCTCTACCACGGTTTCTCGTGCGACTTTCCAAAAAATGGTATATAAAGGAGTATGGAATCGAAGTTTTATCCTGTTTTGGGCGGAAGAAACACTATATGCAATGGATCAACATGCTGCTGATGAGCGAGTCCAATACGAGAATTTGCAATACCAGTTACTTGAGCTTGTAAACAAAAGCTCAATACCCACCAAAGCTCTAAATGAAGTGGAACCAGAAATGTATCTTCAGCTCAACGTGGAAGAATATGAATGTGCATACAGATACATGGACAGACTACTTCAGTGGGGTTGGAGACTATCATTTGAATCTATATCACCGTACGACAAAGCTCCACGAATTCGAATATTGGAAATGCCTTTTCTTCCAGATATGCTAACAATCCATGCTGATATTTTACGAGAACAAATACAGTCCATGGTGGTTGCTAAAAGTCCCAACGTCATCTTTCAGCAAATTCCACAAGCAATCCTACAAGAACTAGCAACTAAAGCTTGTCAGAAAGCCATAAAATTTGGAGATTACTTGACATATCAGCAGATCAGTCAACTTCTCGAACAACTGAAAGAGTGTAAATATCCATTTCAATGCGCTCATGGTCGTCCTAGCATAGTACCATTGTTTCAGGTTTCTAATTGACGTCTCTTGCTACTTCAGTGTTTCTATCAAGATTTATTTCTCTACTTGAAGACTTTTCCAGTCAAGAGAATATTCTCTCAGGAAAACACACGGTTCTTCTTTCTTTCCAAGTTGCTCAACGACGCACTACTGACCTCCTCCTGCTTCTGCTTGAATGACCCTTGGACTTACCAACACGTGTGTCTCTTTTTCCTGCATTCTTCTTCTTTGGTTGAGAATCTGTAGAGGTAGCGTTTGCTGTCTCCACCAGTCTTTCTTTTTCGTCCACTATATCTGGTGCGTTACTGTTGCATTCCTTGTTCGCAGAGTCTAAAGTGGCTACCACAGGAGCGTGGCCTGCTTCTTGACGCAAACTTCAATAGGACCTCGACAAACTTCCTTAGAACCTTACCTTTACCTTCCAATTTCATTTCAGCTTGCGTAATGCTCTGAGATTCCGTCTCTTGGTATTTTGGAGTGTTTGCAACTGCTCCTATCTCCTTTTCATCAGTTGTAGGATTGGAGGGCTCAGGCTCTAAAGTGTTCAAAGGAGTGTTTTCCTCACATTCAACTGTTACTGATTTCATATCGAGAACTTTGGAAGGTTTCGGATCGCGACTGCTTAGGTTGTTTCTCCTCCTGGTTTTTCGACTCGGTTCCGAAATAAACTCACTTTCTTGCCTTTCAACCTGATTGTTCCCCCTTCCTTCAGTTTCGTCCAGCACTTGCTCTATTGACGACCATTCTTCCAATATTGGTTCCATCAGTTTCTTGATTCGTTTCTTCAGTTCCTCTGCAAGTTTATAAACTTCAGAGTTCTTAGCATTATAGCAAAAAGCATTTTCACAAATAAGATGCAAGTCCTGTAAAAAGTCTTGCGGACTCCTATAAACTCCTTGGTCTAATTTCTTCCGCATAGTACTTAGATCCATAGGATTGGTTATTATATCGTAGTAGTTGGGTGCTTCTGCAAGAGTAACCGGCTTTCTAAAAGGACTGGATATCTTCTCTTTTGTAAGCGTCACTAGAGTTTGGCGCAAACGAGGGACCAAAGTTTTCTCTAAAGCAAAATTTACAAATCCTAAAGTTCAAACTTCTTGTGCTTACCATAGTCCACTTGGTATCTGTTGTGTGTACTAACAACTTCGTTTGTACTTCGAGTTCGCTGTCTTCTTGGAGAGGCTAGTATATGGTAAGCAAACCACAAGTAGAGTTACATTAAACACCTACTAACCTTCCTCCTTTGCCCCGGGTTTTAAGTTTCCTTCCTCCATCCCTTGTGCTAACAAGCTTCGGAACAGTTCCACACCTTCCTTGTGTTCCTCATTCATGAGAGCTTCTGGAACACTTCCTAAACCCAAAGAACCCAAAGCAAACGGAATCGAAGGTTTTTCCTTGCTTTCCAACGCTGTTAGTACTGCTCCTAACCTTTCGTCCCACTGTCCTTGTTTTACCGCTTCTGCTGCTTCTTCTAACAATTTCACTGCTTCGTCCATTGCTTCCGCTAGTCTTTGGTGCCGTTCTTTATCCAGTTGTCTATTTTTAATATGTTCCGCTGTGTTTGCTTTATTTATTGTCGTGGTGGACATATTTCCACAAGATTTCTTCGGGAATGTCCAAAACAAAATACTTCATTTAAAATGGACAAGTTTTTCTACAAAAAGAGTGAAAAGTATCATTGATGAAGGAGCATAGTGATTTTTAAGCCGTTGTAGCTTTCAATGGATCCCTTTTGTATTATTTGCATGTGGGAGAAGAAGCAAGCATCATCGATGAAACAATTGGTTTTTTGACAGCAGGTGGTTGGTGCATACAAGTGTGTTTGTAGCAGTTGTGGTGTTATCTTGGTGTTCAAGATTTGCGTTTCCTTCTCTAATATGTTGTTGTGTTCCAAACTATTGAAGTATCACGGACCCTCCGGCGACCAACAGAAGGACTTGTTGCACGATATCATTGCTTATTATGTAGAACTTGGCAATCCTTGGCCACCTTATCAACACTCTCAAATACTCTCTCATATTGGCCCAATACCTATCGAAAACCTATTGGTAGACTTATTTCGACAAGTCTATCTTTTGAGAGGTGGTTATATGGTAAGTATCTGAAACTCATGATAAACTTGTCTATCATTTGTTGTCAGTTGGTCGTTTTACTCATGTTACTTACAATAGATGGTTTGTCGCAATCAGTCTTGGCAACAAGTTCAACATGCACTTTGTATTCCGAAAAGTCCAACATCCAACACTTTGTTTTTGGAAACCATCTATCGAGTCATTTTATTATCTTACGAAAGAGAAAGACGACGTTTAGAAACCGGTGAGACCAGACAGCGTCAAGACATAGGAAACCCTCATGACTGGATAGGTTGGAGTATCAAACTTCAACTTATATTACATGACTTGAGTGGGTCGAATGGGATATGGTTATGGGGAACCGTGATAGCTTTTCGTGCAACGCTTCAAGAACATATCATTTTATTGGATATTGGTAGATGGATATCTGTGCACTTGGATGATGTTGTTGTGGAACTGGGTACATTAGACCATGCTCTATTCAACGCCTTATCCCATATTCAAGTGTCACAAGTCGGTGAGATGGACCACAACGACTGCTCATCGAATGGAATGCTTTTCCTAGAAAGCAATGGCCCTTCGAACGCACCCTCTAGTAAATTGCCCCTTTCTTCCATGGCGTTGATGAGCAATGAAGTATTTACTGGCGTTGCTTCTCCCGTAGAGGATCACTTATTTATAGAATATGATCTATCTCCTCAATTGTATCATTTTGAGACAGGTAGAAAAATTTCAGAGTTGGCACGTTCTTGGACGGAACCTTGTCGAAAACGATGTATGAAGGACCTACCCCCTGTCATAAGCAAGTACAGTATGTGGATGGCATCCGTATCCAAGTTTCAGGAATAGCTCAAAAGTTTTTATATATAGGCATGCTTATTATTCGTTGTATATGTGGTTGTCATGTGGATAATGGAGACATGATTTGCTGCTCACAATGTCGAGTATGGTCGCATAAACGATGTGTGGGTTGGGAAAACATCACGAATGAAGATACATTGCATACCTTTCGATGCTTCTTATGTGACTCATTGGTTGTTCCACAGAGCAAACTAGTACAATCTGTTATTCAAGCAGTTGAAGGTGTTCGCAAGCAGTCCAAATGGTCAGATATTCAAGAACGCATCCAACAAGGAGACTTTTGGGATCAACAGTATGAGGATTCTTCATCGCATTCATCCACAGAAAAAGCTCATTCATTTTCGGAAGAAAATGCTCATCGTTATTCCTCTACTATTCAAGGGTGGAGGTCGACCAAGCGGTTGAAGAACAATGTTCGCGAAATAGCCAAAGGTCATAAACGTGCAAGAGTCCAAGCTCCACCTTTTCTACGCAAAGAAGATGAGGAGAAACAATTTTATAAAGCGTTTTTGCAGTTTTGGAAGATGAAAGGGAAACCTCTGCAGAAGATTCCCATGTTCCGTGGGAAACCGTTTGACTTTTATGCTCTTCACGTGGGAGTTCGTGATCGTGGTGGAGAAGAAGCTGTGATTGATAACAAGCAATGGCCTGAAATTTGGAAAACGATGAATAACTATTACAAAGAGTCAACCGATCATTCGTTTCAATTGCGGAGATATTACGAGATGTATTTGAAAGATTTTGCCAATTGGGAAAAGAGACCGAAAGAAGAGAAGAAAGAAAACTCAATACACAGCAGCCTTGAGCCAAATGAACCTCCAACAGACAAACAAACTTCATCCACTGAAGGAGGTTCATTAGACAACTCAATGGATGCCCGTTATCCAAAAGTGCGCATCGTTTATTCTAAATCGGATGACTCATAACTTTGTAAATGTCTTCTTTTTATTTTGTTCAGCCATGTTGCGGTTGTCTTTGGTCAAGCCGTTCCCTATTAGACCACAGAATTATGGAATGATCATCGCTGGCTGAAGCAAACAGAAAAGGATCCTTAGGATTCCAATCGACACAACTGACAGTAGCATGATGACCATCCAAACGATATACCAAATCTCCAGAATCTCTAAACCATATATATACACTGGTATCTTCACTTCCACTGACAACGAATACTTCACCTTGTCCACCAAATGTTGATCGAATCACAAAATTGATTTGTCTCTGACCACGATAGTCTTGAATGACTTTCCGCTTGGTTAAATCCCACAAATGAATTTCTGCTTCTCCATCGGAATAATTGGAAGCACTTCTCATGGACATATTGACTAGTAAATAATTTCCATCTTTGGATAAACTCAACGAAGTAATGGAAGCAATTTCTAATAGCGAAGCCACTTCTAACTGGGTGCTGCGATCGAATATCTGAATATATCTTTCAGCAACTGCTATAATTTTACTATCATCAGGAGTAACTACCAAATCAGCAGTCTTCTTGCTTCTATAAAAACATACTGGAGAGGTGGGATGTTCACTCAACAAATCGTACTCATAAATATATTCATCTGGACCACTCGTAACTAAACGACAACCATTCGATAACCAAGCACAAGAAGAAACAATTTCCTTATGATCACTCAGCTTCCATTTACACTGACCACTAAAAACTTCCCAAACCAAAACCGTATGATCATTGCTACATGTTGCCAAATAACAATCATCTGGGCTCCAAGCTAAAAATGTAATATCGTCTTCATGACCATTTAATAACCAAACTACTCGTTCTCCTTCTATGTAACCTTTTACTGAATGATCCATTCTTCCAGTATTCGACTCTGGTTGCTCTCCATTCACGGAATGAACTAAGCCATTGGTATAACCAGAATCTAAGGTTTCGGTCAAATGAGATGGCATAGATTGAACTGTAGAGTCAATCAACTGTTCTGCTGCAAAAGAAACTTGCTCATCACTATACTTGTCCAGACAATCCAAACGCCATATCAATACGATTCGATCTTTTGATAAGGACGCCAAGTAACGACCCGAATGAGAAAAAGCAACAAACCAAACTTCATCCTTGTGTCCTCGAAGAGTTGCATATGCTAAATGGGGGACTTTTTCTGGACAGTATTTCAAATCTTCTAATAAACTTGGTTGTGGCGGTGTACAATATGGATAAAAAGATTGTTTCTTTTGCGCTTCCAGTGCTTGCTTAACCAAGCCTTGCAATCTTCTTTGTGGTGGGAGTATCCAAGGAGGAATATAACGTTGAATTTCTTCTAGCAATTGTCGTCTCCTACTAGGACCAGTAGTGTTCCAAGCACACTGCTTTCTCAGGTCTTCCGAACTTTTGCACATGACTAAAGATGTTAGTCGTTGTAACCTTTTCATATCACTGCATAATGGAGTGACTTGCGAACGTAAACAGTGAAGAGCGCTTTCTACTTCCCCGTTCTCCAATGTCTCCAAATATTGTTGTTCATAGATGAGGAATCTTACTTTATCAAGTGCTTGCACATCTTCCAATCCTAGATGAGACACATGTTGTGCGGCTCTCGACCACTCACCAGAAAAGATACACTCACAAAACTCTGCTACTTGTCCATTCAGAGCACATAATCCACTTTGCTCTTCCAACTGTTTCGAAACTGAAGGATAACCTAAGCTTTGAATAGCTTGAATAACCAATCTAGTAAATTGATCTTTGGGTATCTCTTCAGAGTCTTCCAACAAACCACAAGAGTGTTGATGGTAGCTGGGAGAAGACATGTTGTGA